AAAGTCCACTAAAATAAGTTTTGGAAATGCAAAGAGGTTTTTTTTTAGAATTATTTTCCAATTAGCTTAGAAGGTATATATTGACTCAGATATATATATATATATATATATATATGTGTCATAACTATTTTATATAAATGATTAGATATCTGAAACAATTATTAATATTTTTTTAATTTTTTTGTTCATAATTTTTGATCATATCTAGAATAGAATATTACAAAACAGAACTTAAATAAAAATAATCAAATTTTCAAGTACTTTTTATTGTTGTAAATTACAATATTAACATTTTAACTATGTTAAAAAGACTTTTTGTGTTTGAAATTAAAAGTAAGTAGAATAAAGTTTCTACAAAACTTCAGAATCAATGATTAAAGGTAGATTATACATATTATTTAATTATTCATCATAGATGACTTTTTAGAATTTCTCAAAAAATATGTTTTAATTATAAAAATGTTTTTTTTGTTGTTTGTTACATATTAGAATTTCTAAATCCTATAGAATTTGTTTACAAAATTTTCCAGGATATTTGAATTGTATTAAAAGTAAAAGAAGTTGATATTAAATATGTTTTTTTTTATTTTAAAATTCCACATTTACAAACAAAGAAATTAAGATAATATTAGAGATTTACATTTATATTAAAAAAATCAAAGTACAAATCTTTGCAAATCAAATAATTAAGTCACTCAAAGTATTCAAAGTTGTCAAAACTTATAGCAATAAAAGATTTAAATATGAGCCTTTAGATTAATTTTTTATTTTACATATAGGTAAAAAAATTTTGACAATGAAAATGGTGTGACACAAGTATCTTTTATATAAAAAACAAAATAACATTTAAAGAACTATAAGAGAACTTAAAGGCATGTTATAATGTAGAATTTATTTACTTTTAAGAAAGTATTTTAATATTTTAGAAGACATAATATCAATAGTATTTGATTGTGTAACTTAATAAAAAAAGCATGATAAAAAAGAAATTTTTGAAAGTTTAGATTATGTAAGAAAGATGTAAAATTTAGAAATTTTAAAGAACACCACTAAGTAAAGGCCCCACTTTAATTATGTAGACACATCTTCTATCTCTACACATACATACACACACATACACAAATTCATTAATTTAAAAAACAAAATAATAAGATATCATAAAATATTCAAACTTATCATGCTTTAAAACCTGACATAGTTATATTTTAAGTTCTTAAAGTTTCAAAAACTAAATTCATAAATAAATATGAAATTTCCAATAATTTTTTGGCATCTACTCAAATTATGTGCAATAATCTAATGATAATATTTTAAAATAAAAGAATGCACCAAATGCATCAACATCAACAAATTTTATTTTCTAACAATGTTGAAGATCTAAATATTCCAATGATGATAGTATCTTCAAATCCAATGGCATATCTTCCTCATTCTTATATCCATTAAGCTATAACTTCTTCATATTTGTTATGGCTTCAAAGCTAATATGGATGGCTTTCAAGATAGTGCAATTTGTAAAACTAAGGTATTAAATAGATGTGAAATTGCTAAATTCTTTATGCACCTCTTTTAAGTCCAAAAAACCATTTAAATGCAATTCATGTAAAAATAAGAGTGTATCAAATGCATCATCAACAAACTTCTTTTTTGCACAATATTGAAAGTTTAAATACTCCAATGATGATAATGTCTTCAAACCCAATGGCATGCTTCCAAGTTCTCACATCCATCAAGCTATACATTTTTTAAATTTGTCATAAAGCAAAACTAGCATAGATGGCTTTTAAGTTCTTATAATTTCTAAAACTAAGATTTTGAATTGATATGATGTTGCTAAATTCTTTATGGACCTCTTTCAAGTCCAAGAAATCTTCTAAATATAATATTTGTAAAGATAAAAGTACATCAAATGCATCATCATCAAACTTCATTTTTGCACAATGTTGAAGATCTAAATAGTCCAATAATAATAGTGACTTCAAATCCAATAGTATGTCTTTCAAGTTCTCACATCTATTAAACCATATCTTCTTCAAATTTGTCATGCCTTCAAAACTAGAATGGATGGCTTTCAAGTTCTTATAATTTATAAACCTAAGGTATTGAATAGATGTGAAGTTTCTAAATTCTTTATACACCTCTTTTAAGTCCATATAACCATCTAAATACAATTCTTGTAAAGATAATAGTATATCAAATACATCATCATCAAACTTCATTCTTGTACAATGTTGAAGGCTTAGATACTCCAATGATGATAGTGTCTTCAAATCCAATGACATGTATTCCAAGTTCTTATATTTATCAAGCCATACATTCTTCAAATTGGTTATGCCTTCAAAAGTAGCATAGATGGCTTTCAAGGCCTTGTAATTTTTAAAACTAAGTTGTTAAATTGATGTGACATTGCTAAACCCTTTGTAGACTTCTTTTAAGTCTAAGCAACCATCTAAATACAATTCTTGTAAAGATAATAGTGCATCAAATATATCATTATCAAATTTCATTTTTGAACAATGTTGAAGATCTAAATATTCAAATGATGATAGTGTCTTCAAATCCAATGGCATATCTTTCAAGTTCTTACATCTATTAAGCCTTATATTCTTTAAATTTGTCATGCCTGTAAAATTTGTATGTATTGCTTTTTTATATTTTTACAATTTTTTATAACAAGATTTTTAAGAAAGTATAAGTTTTTAAAGGCTTTATAAATTTCATTTAAATTGTAACATTCTTAGAAATATATTGCTATTATTGAAGATAAAGAATGTATATTTTTTCTATTGTTTATTAAATTTTTATAATTTTTCATATAATTTTTTTTCAAAGATTGTATATTAATAAGTAGATTTGTAATATCTTCAAGATTTTTGCATCCTTCAAGATTAAGAATCTCTAAATCAATTTTTTTTCACCATAAAGATTGATATTTTTTAGGTTTGTATAAATTTTTGAGCTTAAATGTTTTAAGTACATCATATTAGATATATCAATAGAAAATGACTTTAAAAAATCTATATCAATTAGTTTTAAAATAATAATTTTTAAAATATTTTTAAAATATGTAATAATAGAAATTATTATTTTTTATTTTCTTGTAATAATATCATATTATTTGTTGTAGAATATTTAACTCTCAACCACCTTAATTAATGAGTATTTTTTTTTTTATGTATGAGCTTATTATATTTATATTTGAATATTTTGTAAAACTTAAGAGATGGAGATGTTGAAATTTGACTTTTATATTATTGTATGCCTTCATGTATATTTTACAACTTGTAAAACAAAGATCCTTCATGTCCATATCATCCTATAGCACATGATGTATAAAATATTATTATCTATAAATAACTATTAATAGATATATATTAAAATATTTTATTACTATTATTTATAAAAATAATATTCTATAAAAATGATCCATTACTTTCATTCCATCTCTGAATTCCATCAAAATCTTGTCTAAAACTTCTTTGAGCCATATCATGAAACAAATCATGAATACTTATAAATCCAAATGAATCTACTTTGATGAATGACTTGTCTTTGAGACTTGTAATAATTTCTTTAACATTCTTGATTTCATATTCATAAAATTGAATAATTGTATCTTGATTGATATTTTCATTCCATATATCTTTACAATAAAATATGCTATATCCTTCATCATTAAGGGCTTCATAAGTAAGCTCCAATCTTGTCAAAGGATTATTTGAGCTAAGAAATTTTGAAGCCCTTTTTAATTTTTGAATAACTAACTTCCATACATAAAGACTTATTTGATTATATAAAGAAGTTCCCATAATTTTTAATGTCAAAGGATGTCCAATGTATATATATATAGTCAATATATATATAGTTAATATATATATATATAGTTAATATATATATAGTCAATATATATATATATAGTTAATATATATATAGTCAACAAAGATACCAAGTTATAATATTGATATTTTTATTTTGAAATAATTAGGTATTGAAACAAATACATATGATCTCATCTCATGAACAATTCCTTTGTGTATTACCATTTTTATGTCAAAACAAAGTTGCCTTGCACAACATTTCTTGCATCATGTACTATACAACAAAATTCAATAATACATGGAAAATGAGATTTTCAATGAAATAAACTAAACTTGTAGTGTTGGAAGATAGTAGAATGTACAAAATTAGCCAAGATATTTTCAAAAAATTTCAATTTGTAGAAATAACATAATGGCATAGAGAAGAAGTACAATTGTGGACAAGCCAGCTGTAATTTTCATGCACTTTTTTTTTTTTTTTTTTTTTTTTTTTTTTTAAATAAACTAAATCATGCGTAAATACATACCATCTTTTCATTGGAAAAAGAAGAAAATTCTTTTCTATAATGCACAAACATGGAAACCAATCCAGTGGCTTTTGGCATTCTATAATTTATTTATTATTTTTCAAAAGAAAATAATCAATAGAGAGACATTACGTCAATGTAAGAATCCATCAAATAATATCAAGAATTTCACAACTTGGATTTGACCCACCAGTCCCTCAATACCAGCTTATCATTCTTTGGTAGGTCAAGGTCATTGCAGACCCCAACAAAAATTTACTTTTAACATTTGTACTCTATGCTTTATCTACAAAAAACGTTGGGTTACTTTTGTAAGGAAACGGAAACTGTGGGTGAAACATGAATGAATGCAGGCGAATAAGAATGAATAGTTGTGTTCAAGCTTCGGCTCCCTAGCACGATTTAAAATGCAGCGGCATCAATCATGGATTCAGAATGAATGACGAGGTTTCATTTGGTTCGATTCAGATTTCGGAACTCAGTTTGAGCACTTCTAGATCGAGAGCTTCTGGAACTGAGAAGCGTTGGTAGGCTTTCTCGGGTGAGCTTAACCAGACGTAGCAGCGTAGCGAGTTGAATTTAAGTGTGTTGTGAGTGAGGAGTCACCACCTGCTCAGACCCCACAAAAGGGTTTTCTTCAGCAACGCCTCCTGAGGATCCCTGGACATGCTGCGTCTGATGCACACTGGTCTCAAGCAATCCCAACTGGATGCACCCGAGCGACATCCTTTCAATCTCTCCATCGTTACACAAAATGTGATGGTGTCATGAGCTTCGACTCTTGGCTTACCATCCTGCCTCTTCACATCGCAACGGCACTGGTTTAGGTTAGCGTTCCTCGACGCACTGCGTTGGAGCGGAGTGTGGTTGGCCTGGTGCTACTGAATGCGGTGAGATTATCACGCACAGGTTCTTCTTTGGTTAATTGGTTGGTTGGTTTTTTGGGATATTGATGCTGCAAGGAGGAATTTTTGCACATGGCGTCCCGATGTCAGCGATTGAAGGTGTATGTGAAGGCAGCTACTGGCAACCCATGCAAGCTTGGAGACTGTATGTGCCCTTCAACTTGATGCACACAATTGACTTGCCTTTTAATGCGAACAAGCTCATGAATTTCATCTCGCAAAACAGCGAGTTGAAGTTTTGTTTTGCATCCCTATTCTGTAATGACTTGCAATCCAGTTCGTGAATCTTGAACTCCTTGCGCTACTGCGGGTACAGGTCCGTTTTCTCAAAGAGTGCTGATAACGTGTGAACTGAAAAACATTGCTTACGATGTGAAGTTTGTCGATCTGGACAGGAAGCCTGAATGGTTAGTTTTTCCAAATCCTGCAACTCCTTCGTCCAGTACAGCGGTACTGTCCATCTAAGGTTTCGCAGCACGGTGCATTGATGATGATGATGATTTTGCGGGTGGTGTGGCAAATGTTTAAGGTTCTTGAGGATAAATCCGGAAGGGAGAGTTCCAGTTATCAAAATTAATGGAGACTACATACCCGACTCAGATATCATCGTGGACGTTCTGGAGAAGTCGTACCCCTATCCCCCTCTTTCTACCTGTCGAAACATCACTTGCAGGTGCACGCCTCAACACCTTTGTTCGCCATAATTCAACAGATTGAGGTTGCGAGACACGAGCATTCTAACATTCCTTGAGATTCAAACTGTGACGAGGTCGTGAACCACCCCCACACTCGCGCTTGACAAGGTGCTGAGTAGCATAACCTCCTTGAAGCGATTGACTCCAGGGGCCAGAACATCTTCCCGGCCGGAATGGCGTTCTTCAAGAGCAAAAACCCCAGGTGCGATGGCACAGAATCGCAGTTCGTATGCGAGCTTGACCACATGAACCATCACCTTTGCAACGAGGTAACAAAACGAATCCTGATCTTATTCGACTATGCAGTTCATGACAACAGCTTATTCGTTACATCCATGAAACGAAGCTAGCATGGACTCAGGCAGTACTACGTGTTGGCACGTAGCGCAGGGTCCATACATAGCGGGGCAATACGTGACCTCGGCCGACATTGCGCTGGCGCCACAGCTGTATGTCTTGCAGACCGCCCTGGCATACTACAAGAACTGGACCAACTTCGAGCAATTCTACCCTGCCTTGAACCTATTCATGAAGGTTTACTCACACAAATACCATCTCAAAACTCATGCTCGTCCCAGTTCTCAACCAAACAAGAAACCCCCCCCCCATTAAAACCAACCCAGCATTCCTGATCAGTTAGTGATGCTGACAGACTTCTACCTCGAGATCTAAAGTTGTGCCCCTGTGATGCATGCCACACAGAATATGTATGCGCTTCCGGCCTTCATGCAAACAGCTCCTGCACCTGAGGTGGTGATCCAAGGCTGGGCCAAGCACTGGTCATGCTAGACTGCACGAGTGCCGCAAAGGACGGTTCTGTGTTCCGTTTGGATTAGGTACGATGTTACAATCTTTCATCAGATACTCTTCAAATTGTTCAAGACAACAAGACGAAGGCAACACAGCCACAATTAGTCAAAGAATTCCCCGCTTTGTTTATATTGCATGAGATTTGCACACCACTGTCAGTTTAATAATGTGGCCTGGAGAATTGGGTACAGACCAAATACTTGCCGATTGTTCTGCAAGTGGTTGTTTAACTTTGTATGCATCAAATAAATGATTCCTGTATCATTGCATTTACCGCAACTTTTTGGGGTTTGCTTTTGAAACCCGAATATGTGATACATGGTTGTTCAAAAATTTTTTTACTTGCATTTGAATATTGGGAAAAGACGTGAAAAAAAAAGAAAAAGAAAAATTCAGGTAGCATAATATTCAATGTTGGCTCTAATATTGGATACTTGTTATTCTGTTAGATGTAGTTTTTATCCAACATAGATATGGCGAAATATTTTCAAACATAAATGAAATTACATAAATTTTTTTAATATATTTCTTGCTTAGAATATTCAATAATAAATAATGGGCTTAAGAAGTATAATTTTTTTTCCCTCTTATTCATATGTGAAGTAGAACCTATGAAGCATGTCATTTGCTATAAGTTGGTTATCATAACCAACCGTATACTTAAAAGTGTTCAATACCATCATGTTTTATTTATATTTTCAAATAAACTTCGTATGTTGTCTTTCTGACTCAATCACTCCATTAGACTTATGTACTTTTGGTAATGTTCATTCCTTTAATTTTTAATTTTAATTTTTATGCTTTTGAAAAATCAGTATGGCTTTTTTCATTATAAATCGAGGTAAAAAATGTTTCAACACAACATAAATCTTTGAATAAAACAGTGTAGGTTCTTACACAATGCCTGTTAAGAATTTTAGAATCTTACAAGTTCATGACATTTTAATAACAGATTTGATAACTTTTGAACAACCATAACTCAAAAATGTGTATTTATATGAATGATAGTGTATTCTTCCTTGAGCTTTTGTTTTATGGTTGTTGAAATGTCCAAAGCATGAATGATGGTACTGACTTCTAATTCATATAAAACATAGTTATTAGAGCCCCTCACTATATAAAATGATTCTATAAATTAAAATAAATTTGTACGTGTGTTATTTTAATTTAAAATAAAAATTTCATAATGAAACTACAGCATATAAAAATACAAAACTTAATAATCTTAATAATCTTAATAATTTTTTGTACATAGAAGCATAAGGTCTTTCTTGTTCAAAATCATATTTATTTTTTGTATTACAGGGATTATTCAATAAATCCAAATTATCTATTAAAGCTTGGTTTCTACACACCAATCAACCTCTAACTTGTCATTATTATAAATTTATAAATTTTTAGATGGTGATGCAAATAAATAAATAAATAAATAAATAAATTTCTTACAGTTCTAACAATATATGTTCATGATTTTATCTTATTTAGTAACAAAAACATTCTAATTAAATGTAATTAAATCTTATAGCAACAAGAATTTAAGTGTAAAATGAAAAAATTACTTTTTCCTGTAATTTTATTCTCACTCAAAGGGTGCATTCTAATGCAACAGATAAAAAAAAATGTTTGCATGTTTTTTAATAAAATTTGAACATATGATATCAAACAATTTAACAGCAAAGGATTTAATTTTAAAGAATTAAATTTAGATAAAAAAATATAAACGAGTAATATTACTATACAAGAAAATAAAATTTAACCAAATTAATTCAATAATATTTTTTAAAGGCCTTTACAAGAAAATAAAAATTTCTATTATGTGCACAAATTCAACAAAACTTTCTATCAAATCCCTTGCATTTTATTTACATAATCTGCACAACCAAAAATTAGACTTCATTTTTTAAAGGTATTTTCTACTATCTCAATCTAATAAAATAAATATTTTTACTTATCCTATAAAATAAATAACATATGTTAACAAGAAAATATTTTTATTTAAATTTTGATTTAAAGACTCTATTTGCAAACTGTTGTTCTTTATTAATAAGATTTTAATTTATATAATTTTCATGCATAAAATTTGAAGTTTGATACTAAATAATTATAAAAAAAGGGTGAAAATTAAAAATTTGAAACCATCAAATTATCTACATAAGTCACTATCATCTACCTACTAATTAAATATTTAAAGCAACATCACAAATTGTAGATAATACATGACAAGTATTTGGCAAGAAAGAAAAAAACTTCAAAGCTAAGATTTTTCTTAGTACTTTCTATAAGAGTAGATTGCTAATTAGAAGTTAATGTCATCAAATTTAGTAAATAAATAAATAAATAAAAGTTATATAATAACTTACCAATTCAATGACAGAACATCTCATAGTATCAAGGATTGCAAAAGCTTAGCAACGGTTGAAGAAAATCAAAGACATCTATATCATACTTGAAAAAATATAAAAAATATAAATTTCAATAAGTAATTTTAAAAAATCTAAAAAGACAAAAAAACAAAAAAATAAAAATAGTGAGAGTGTTGAAACCTAACTTATAGAGGGTGATGAGAACGGTTTTTATCATAGTTTAAGGGAGACAAAAAAGAGTTTGAGAGGATCTGTAATAAGGAAATAATTGTTTTTAAAGCTGTATTTAAGATCAAAGAGAAAAAAAAGAAAAAAATGTGGCTAAAATTTATATCTACTAGAGAAGAAATTGTAACTCAAAAAAAATAAAAGAATAAAAAAATAAATTACTTAAAAAAAGGAACACCTTAAAGAGAGATAAAAATAATATTTTCTTATAAATTAATCATAAAAAATAAATTAATAGAAAATTCAATCATCTACAAAGGTAATATAGATTCTATATGAAAAAAAATAAATCTCAATGCATTAATATAAGATTTAGAGCAACATAGTTGAAAAAAAAGAAATAATATTAATTGCAATTTTTTATTAATAGCAAAGAAAAAAAACTATTATAAGTGGTAATAAATAAATATTAATATAATCTAAATAAGATCAAAGGTCTTTATTAAATAAAACTTATTAAATCATGTACAAGTCATAAGCTATAATACTCTTTAAGGATAAAAAGAAGATGCCATGTTATTACAAGTTTGTAATAAAGATAGTATTATTAAAGAAGCTTAAGAACATACCTTTGTTTTTAATATAATATATAAGGGTAATCAATCTTAGTGAAAAAAATAGAAGAATATAAACAAAGAGATTAATTAAGATGTTGGCTCTATATCCAACAAAGAATTTAATAAAAGCAATAAAAATATAAATCGATTAATCAATAATTAAAAGAAATAATAGCAAGAATAATATAAAATAAATAATATCTTATATTTTTTGAAAATAAAAATAAAAATAAAGTCTTTGAATTTTTTAAGAAAGTAACTTTAAGAATATTAATTAAAACATAACATCAAGAAAGAATAGAAATAAGAAATTTTCATTACATTGGTAAAACTTGGATCCAAAAGTAATCACAAAAGAAAAAAAGAAAAAAATAAAAAAATACAAGATTTGGAACTTTGTATTGACATAGTATTATAAAGCATTCTTAAGTGGCATTTAAAAAAATAAGAAACAAAATAATTTATATCATAGTTTTAATTATAAAAGAAGAAAGTATTTTTTTTTTTTTTTTTTTTATTTATTTTTATTAATATTATTAGTATAAGAAGATGTCATTAACTAATAAGAAAAAAAAATACAATAGTAAGTAATATTTTAAAAAATCAAAAAATTATACACTAATAAATAACTAAGAAGAATTAAATTATATAAGTCAATTGCAAATAATGTAAGAAAAAGAAAGGTTAAGAGATACATGAAGGAAATTAATCTATAATCATAGACCTAACCAATGAAGGAATTCTATCTAATTTATAGTATTTAGAGAATTAGAAGTAAGACATGGCTCTAAATATAATAGATTTAGTATTGATAAAAGACCAATTATGAATGGATATAATATTATATTGTAGAAATTATCCATCTTAATTCAAAAGAGATTTATTTAGATTAATGGAATTATATTAATCCATGTCAATAGATGTAAATTTTTAAGTAAAAAAATAGACCAAAATAACATTAGTAGATATATAAAAAAATTAAGATTATCTAAGAAGCCTTTTATATAAAAGAAGAATTTTCATGATTTTACTCTATATAAAAAATACAAAATTTAATCTCTTAGATATCAAGATTATAAAAAACTATAAGTTCTTATCTCTTACATATCTATTTTTATAAAATAATAAATTTTATCCATTTATTTTAAAAGATTAAATAATTTTAAATAAATCTCAAAGAAAGAGAATCCTTGATACATTCTTGTGTCATTGGAGAGAACTAAAAAGTCACTCAAAAGGTAATATAATATTAACTAGAATGGCTATTGTCAAAAACAAGAAGACTAGAAAGTCTTGAAATAAAACTAAAGACTAGAATGGCATTGACAAGACTGAAGAAGGCTTCACTCTTGCCTCCATATATACTCTTAACTAGGAGCTACATGGCGATGTCCTATAGGACCTCCAAAACATGTTGACTTTGCTAGCCACATGATTTAACTTGCAAGAGAAGTTATTTATGTATACACTACATGGTTAACTTGTTCTACAGGCTACTATGTGGAGTTAACTTATTCCTTAAGCTACTAATACGTGGTTAACTTGTTGGCTAAGTTTCCAACCTACAAATACATGTAAAGTCAAAATCACATCTATAAAGCTTCTAGGAAGCTTCACTAAAAGACTTTATAAAATTAATCTATATTTACCTACTTCTACCTAATCATATAAGTAAACATTGAGATAAATGTATATATCCATGACATTACCTCTCCTTCTAGAGAAGAATTCCATGAGGAGCAGTCTTTATATGTTGAAAAAGTCCAAGATTTAGCATATTATATTTGTCACATATTTCAATCTTTGCTCTCTTTGAACATGGTTGATAGGCCATCTTAGCCATCGATAGTGTCCTATATCAAGGCTAGAAGACTACCCTGTTATTTGGTCGTTGTTGATGCCTTTATAACTCCCTTCATATAAAATATTTGAAACACGGTCAATAATTGTTTTTACTTCTAATAAAATCACCAAACAGTGGGAGTCTCTTTTGAGGTTGTGATACCAAACACATTATATCTCACCATCTATTCAAGGAAAGACATGTTGTTCTGTAGGATCTTCATCTTAATTTTTTCATCTTGAAGGTTGTGAAAATCACAATGTCTCATCTGATAAGTC